AGACACACACACACACAGACAGAGACACACACACACAGACAGAGACACACACAGACAGACAGAGACACACACAGACAGACAGAGACACACACAGACAGACAGAGACACACACACCCACACAAGGATCAAAGCAAACAACTGCCACGAGCCATCAGCAATTTTTGGAAAATGGTATTTTATAATTTAATTGATGTATTCATTGCCACAGACAGTATATTCACAATGCTATACACTTTATACTCCCTTGCAGTTTTCAGGTCGATCCGCCATTTTCAGGTAGCAATGAAAAGACAATACTAAGTGAGAAACGTGACCCAAATGCGGATTTCAATAATGTCAATTGGTACGATCACTTCATAAAACACCCGGGATGTTTAAAAACGAAGCCCAGGGTGCTGAAGTACACGGGAGGCTTGCAACGGGTGCAAGCTGAAAAACATAGAAAATAGGCAGCTCGCTGGAGGCGGCCATATTGGAACCACCACCAACAGGGCAAGAAATAGGACTAAATGCGAAACAGAATGGTCACATCTGTGTGGTGACGGAGATCCAACGGTCCATAGACATACTGCACGGCACACAGAAAAGGTGGAAGTGTATATTAAACAAAAAAAACCTAAAAGCTAGAAAGTTGACTTGATCTGGAAGAGATTTGGACATCTGCCATCGCTCTCCTCGATTTGAGGTGATGAGCAAAGACTTCATAAATCAGCAATAAAACGCAGCTCCAAAAAAGATCCAGATGTTCCGGGAACCCTGCTGTCACACCGACTGCCCATGAGGACCTTCTTGTGAGTGGCCAACGCTCTTCACCGACGACTCCTGGAGGCTCCGATTGGTCAGGCTTGTTCTAGAAGGCCTCAATGATCTTCTAATGGGGTCTATTTTGCAGCACTGACCTCACAATCAGAAGACCGGTCACGGGCGGCGTTAACAGCAGGATTTAACCTCAGCAACCCTTCTGGGAGATGTCACCACCTGAAGATTTTGTGACTTCCATCGTGGTAAATATCTGGTGCAGGAAGAAAAAAATAAAGTTAACCAAATCGGTTTAATTTCAATCTTTCATGCAAATTTTAATAATTGTGACAGTGAATAGAGTACATACATATCCGCATTACCAAGTCACACTACTGGTCTGAACTTCCTTCATGTGACCTAAAACCTAGGCAGAGGGTCACATGGTCTATGGCTACCAGGATGTTAAAGGAGAACTATGAGGTGGGTGCTTTTCACTCCTCATAGTTCTAGCCGACCTGTGACAATGAGACTGTCACAGGTCGGCTCAGTAGATCGGGAGGTGAGCGAACACATACCGGCGTTCGCTCACCTCTCGATCCCATCACGGCTCTCTACCGTGACAGGGGAGGGGTTGGATTCCCCCTCCCCCAGCGCTGACTGGAGGAACGGATGGGGGAGGGTACAGCTGTCTCTGCCTGAGATCGGCAGAGCCAGCAGTCAGGCAGCTGGGCGGATCCCGGCACAATTGTGATCCGATTCAGCGTCTCAGTATACCGTGAACTACAGCTCGCGGTATACTGAGCCTAGGGTGACGGGAGGACGCTAGTTTGTGTCCTCCCATTACCCTAAGGAGAACTATGGGGAAAAGCCTTAACCCCATAGTTCTCCTTTAAAGTGACACTAAACTCAGGAGTTACATTGTTGTTCATAGTTAAGGTTCTTGGATGTATTTTTAAGATGTATCTTATTTGTGTATCACTCGGCTGGAGATCCTCCAATCATCTCTGAATTGGGGCTGACACTGTCCTTCCTTCTGGAGGGGGGCTACTTGTGTTCCCCATAGTCCCTGTGTGTGTTGTAAAGTAGTCACCGCCCCAAGCTCGCTCCCGGGATGGACTACAATCTCAATACAAATTAGTCAACTAAATATGAGACTGAAGTCCATCCCGGGGGCGGAGCTTGGAGCGGTGACTACTTTACAACACACACAGGGACCATGGGGAACAGACGTTGCCCCCCTCCAGAAGGAAGGACAGTGTCGGCACCAATTCAGAGATGATTGGAGGATCTACAGCCGAGTGATACACAAATAAGATACATTGTTGTTCAGAGTTAAGGTTCTTGGATGTATTTTTAAGATAGAACGTGAGTTTAGTGTCACTTTAATTGCAGTGGGTGAAGGAGTTGCCTCTAATACAGACCAGTCACTGCTGCTCTTTCTCCATGCAGGGCGACTGGTCTTGAATCTCTCCCATATGTATATGACTGCCACTATACACATACAGTTACAAACAAGTGCAATGATCAAACCAATGACATTGATATCTGAGCCAATCCTTTTAGTGCCAGGCAAGCAAGGGAAATCAGTTGCCCAGCTGGATAATAAAAGTGCCATTTGTTGCCTTTTTATGAGTTGCAGGTGGCTACGCTTCGGCTGTGGAAATGCAACACACCGCCGTCTCTGAAAATTGCTCTGCACCTGCTAATTATTTTATGTGACGATTTACAGCATATGTTTTCATCAGGCAGCTTGGCAAATCTCTATGTCATGTAACATCTGGAGAGAAGTAACTGAAGACACGGACAAACCTTCCTAACGAGTCAGATTTTACATTGCTGTGACCCGTACAAGGGTTGCCTGGAGATACTGACCTCTGCGCATGTTGGATGGATGCCGATAGTCTCGTCCAGCTTCTCTTTGGTGAGCCCGCATTTCATTGCTGCGGCATAGCCCTGAGTGATCTCGCCGGCGTTCGGACCCAAAACATGGAACCCGACAACGCGCTCCTAAGAGAGGATTGAATGTTACCCATTAGCTGAGTGATGCGGTTTTAATCTTGGTGCCACTTTTAAAGTGTCAGTAAATCCAAAAATGTATTGATTGTCAAACTATTTTCCCCAACTATGTGCAGCCAACATTTGTTTAAAAAAGAGATAACATAGTAAATACTCGGTGATGTGACCAGTTATAGTGCCTCCTTTTTCAGCCTATGCCAGCTGATCCACTTTTCTGCACTGCCATGCTGTATTTTCTTCTGTCCCACTTCCTCTTCATTCCCCAGCTAGCGGACACTCCTGCATGTCTTGCGGGGTTTGTCCCATAAACCCAACTGAGCATCTGAGCACTTCCTGCTCTCTCCCCAGTGCAACTCCTGAAGGTTCTCGATGCATGTTGCTCTGGCAGTCACATGACTTAAGTCATGTGATCACCAAAGCAACAACTGTAGTGCATGCTCAAGAGTATCAGGTGGGCTGGATTAACAGAGAGGAAGGAGGCAATGCTCCGCTGTCAATAAGGATTATGGAGACATGCAGGACTGTCACTTGGGGCAGCTAGCAGAGGAGCCACGTGACTGTCAGAGGACCAATAAGCTCTGTGCTGTCCCAGGCAAAAGAGGTGTGCACACTGCAGTGACATATGCAGAACATGTCACACTATGGACTCTCTCTCTGCCCACCCATTGCACAGAGAAAGTATACCAACCACGTGACTGAGGTACAGAATACAAAAAAGGCATTTTGGGTAAATTCCATAGCTGAGATAAAAGGAATTTTGTTCTCACCGCAAAATCCTTTTCTCACTTTCATTGAAGGATAAGCTGTCTGGTGACACTAGGATCACATGCTTAATTTAATCTACATGCTGAACAAAAGGCAATAGACCCAGATCTACCGTGTTTCACCGAAAGTAAGACCTAGCGCTATCTTCAGGGATTTCTGTAATACAAGACCTACCCCGAAAATAAGACCTAGTTCGGGGTAGGTCTTGTATTACAGAAATCCCTGAAGATACCGCTAGATAATCTGCTGACACCGGAAACTGCACGCTGCCTTCCGGGACCTCGTCCAGCCAGGTAAGACATCCCCCGAAAATAAGACCTAGTGTCTTTTCTCGTGCAAAAAAAAAATTAAAATAAGACAGTGTCTTATTTTCGGGGAAACACGGTATGTCCTGTAAAGCCTATGTGGTGTGTTCATGAGATGGGCCTACTGTGACCAATCACCAAGCAGTTGCTGAAACCAACGAGTTCAAAGTATGTCGTCACCGGCACACCATAGTTAAAGTGAAATCAGCAATAGTCCATTTTGTTTTAACCAAGTGCCATTGCACTTGAGCGGCATTATTCCTTTAATTGACTTTTGCCGATTCCACTTTAACTATGGTGTGCCGGTGACATCCTTTGAAACTTATATACCCTCACGGCGCCATCCGTGGTCACGCTGAGCACCCACCTGTGTTTTTCAGACTATCATCTCCGGTAAGGCGTGCAGCAAGACATTTATGTATTGCTGAAACCAACAAGTCACACCTTACGATTTAAAGTAAACCTGCGCTTTTCTTTGCAGCTCCCCCTACCAAAAGTGGTGGATATAGGCTTCCAAGGAGAGGGCCAATAAAGAGAACCTGCTTACCATAGAGACCCTTTCCAAAACGAATGCAGCCACCACATGGAAGTAATGCTAAGCTGCAACATTACATGTTTGTCCTTGAGTGCCTATACAGTCTATTCCAGCAACTTTTTATATACATCATTTCAAACATGTATTAATAATGCTGCTGCCGTTTCTTACATAGTCAAGTTTATTGCAGATGATCTTTGCAAAACACTTGTTATTATCACGTCCTGGGACCGTCCATTCCAGAGGCCAGAACAAAGTGTGGTAGACCTAAGAGAAGAGAAATTCATGTTACTATGAGATTATTATTATACAGGATTAATATAGCGCCAACAGTTTGCGCAGCGCTTTACAATATAAGGAAGACATTATAGTCACAATACAATTCAAGACAAGATGGTAAGGAGGGCCCTGCCCCTGAGAGCTTACAATCTAAAGTGGAGGGGGAAGCGATACATGAGGAGGTAGCTGTGTGGGGATGAATTGTTTGAGAACGTGATGGTTGAGCGGTTAGGCTTCCCCGAAGAGATGAGTCTTTAGGGAACGCCTAAAAGGCAGTCAAGGTGGGAGACAGACGGACAGTTTGGGGTAAAAAGAGTTCGAGGATGGGAGAGACTCTAGAGAAGTCCTGGAGGCGAGCAAGGGAGGAGTTGACAAGGGAGCTGGGAAGCAGGAGGTCTTGGGAAGAGCGGAGGGGACGGTTAGGGTGATATTTTGAGACAAGGTCTGAGATATATCCGGGGGCAGAGTTGTGGATGGCTTTATAAGTGACTGTTAATATTTTTAATGTTATCCTTTGGGCGAGTGGAAGCCAGTGCAGGGATTGACAGAGGGGGGTGGAAGCCAGTGCAGGGATTGACAGAGGGGGGTGGAAGCCAGTGCAAGGATTGACAGAGGGGGATGGAAGCCAGTGCAAGGATTGACAGAGGGGGGTTGCAGACACTGAGCGGTTGGCCAGGTGGATGAGTCTGACAGCTGCATTCATGATAGACCAAAGGGGGAGGAGCCTGTGTAGGGGTAGACCAATGAGGAGGGAGTTACAATAGTCAAGACGAGATATAACGAGTGGATGAGTAATTTTGCGGTGTCATTGGTGAGGAAGGGGCGTATTTTGGAGATGTTACTAAGGTGAAGGCGGCAGGATTTGGATAGTGATTGGATGTGGGAAAGAAAGGTGAGGTCCGAGTCCAGCATGACATAAGAATAAGGAGGCTTTATAAAAATGCTCCAGAGAAGCATTTCAAGGCGTTCCCCAAACAAACAAAATTGCTATAAACACTTTGTGCCATTTATCGTCTTCAATCAACACATGTAACCATGTTTAACCCCTTCATGACTGAGGCCCTTTTTTCCATTTTTGCAACCAAGTTATATTCCACATTTTAGGCCTGAAAATGACGTAAAACCCCCAAACATTATATATTTTCTGAATGCCAAGACCCTATAGAATAAAATGGTGGTAGTTGAAAATTTTTATGTTGCGCAATATTAGCGCAACTCCTTATTAAACCCCAAAATTTAGTGACAAATTTAATTAAATGCCCCAAAACACAACAAATTACCCATTTTTTTAATGAAATATAAAAGATGAGGTTACAACGAGTAAAACGATACCCAACATGCCCAGTTTACAGATTGCGTGCGACCGTGAAACGGCGAAAAACTGCAGTCCCCCAAAAAATCAATAAAAGACACTTTAAAAGCCCCCACAGGTCATCAATTTAGAGATACCCCAAAATACTGGCCCTAGAATTATTGCTCTCACTCCGGCGTGCGCGGCGATACCCAACATGTGTAGCGCGTTCGTCGTTTTCATGCGTAGGCGCACCCGACGCGTGTTTACGTGGCGACGCGCGTGCTCGCGGGGGCGGGGTACTTTTAAAATTTTTTTTTATTATTATTAGATTTATTTTATTTCATTTTAATTTTAAAAACTGTTTTTTTTTTTTTTTACTTTACTTTGACTGCTATCACATGGGGGGGCTTGCAAGCCCCCCCATGTAATAGCAGATGGTGGTGACAGGTCCTCTTTAAGGTGATGCTGGGGGTCCAAATGACCCTCAGTGTCACCTTTACACTGGAAATAAGCTATTGAAGTGCAGATCGCACAGAACGATCTGAAGCGATCTGGCGACAGGTAAGTCGCCAGGATCGCTTCTGTTGTAAAGCCGACAGTCGGCTCTACAAGTTTAAACAGAGTCCCGGCGGCAAAAGTCACCGGGAGTTTGTTTAAACAGCCCCGATGCTGGCGACGTACACTGTACGTCGTCAGTCACGAAGGGGTTAAAGTAATTTTACCTCATACAATAGTTAGATCTCATGAATGTAACCTCTGCAGTACAAGAGATCAAACTGACGGCTCCCAAAGAAATGGTGTGTGGGAGGTTTATAGAGGACCTTCATTATTATTATACAGGATTTATATAACAAGTCTGATCCGTGCTTTACAACAAAGGGAGAATTTATAGATACAATAGAGTTACAAGACAAGAGGGTTAGGAGGGCTCTGCTCATGAGAGCTTACAGTCTAAGAGGAAGCGTCATAGGCTTGAAGAGATGAGCTGATTGAGTAGGTATAAGATGAGACTAAAAGGCAAACAAAGTAGGAGGATAGTTGTACAAGTTGGGGTAGAGAGTTCCAGGGGACAGAAGAGGCTCTGAAAAAGTCTTGGAGTGGAGAATGGGAGGTGATGAGAAAGCAGGACGACTTGGGAGCAGAGAAAACAACTTGGGGGTGGAAGCCAGCAGAGGGGGTCAGTGGATGGACGCCAGCGGAGGAGTAGGCAGAGGGGTCAGGGGATGGACGCCAGCGGAGGAATAGGCAGAGGGGTCAGGGGATGGACGCCAGCGGAGGAATAGGCAGAGGGGTCAGGGGATGGACGCCAGCGGAGGAATAGGCAGAGGGGTCAGGGGATGGACGCCAGCGGAGGAATAGGCAGAGGGGTCAGGGGATGGACGCCAGCGGAGGAATAGGCAGAGGGGTCAGGGGATGGACGCCAGCGGAGGAATAGGCAGAGGGGTCAGGGGATGGACGCCAGCGGAGGAATAGGCAGAGGGGTCAGGGGATGGACGCCAGCGGAGGAATAGGCAGAGGGGTCAGGGGATGGACGCCAGCGGAGGAATAGGCAGAGGGGTCAGGGGATGGACGCCAGCGGAGGAATAGGCAGAGGGGTCAGGGGATGGACGCCAGCGGAGGAATAGGCAGAGGGGTCAGGGGATGGACGCCAGCGGAGGAATAGGCAGAGGGGTCAGGGGATGGACGCCAGCGGAGGAATAGGCAGAGGGGTCAGGGGATGGACGCCAGCGGAGGAATAGGCAGAGGGGTCAGGGGATGGACGCCAGCGGAGGAATAGGCAGAGGGGTCAGGGGATGGACGCCAGCGGAGGAATAGGCAGAGGGGTCAGGGGATGGACGCCAGCGGAGGAATAGGCAGAGGGGTCAGGGGATGGACGCCAGCGGAGGAATAGGCAGAGGGGTCAGGGGATGGACGCCAGCGGAGGAATAGGCAGAGGGGTCAGGGGATGGACGCCAGCGGAGGAATAGGCAGAGGGGTCAGGGGATGGACGCCAGCGGAGGAATAGGCAGAGGGGTCAGGGGATGGACGCCAGCGGAGGAATAGGCAGAGGGGTCAGGGGATGGACGCCAGCGGAGGAATAGGCAGAGGGGTCAGGGGATGGACGCCAGCAGAGGAATTGACAGAGGGGTCAGGGGATGGACGCCAGCGGAGGAATAGGCAGACAGTGGTGGTCATTCATAAACAGAAGGACTGAAAACACTTTCCTATCCTGGAGAAAAGCTGCTCTGGGACCAATCACATGATCACAAGCCTTTTCAGCTCTGGTTACACCATCTCAATCCTGACCTACCTTTAGGCTAAAACAAGTAATGGTCTAGCCCAGGAGTAGCAAACTCTGGCCCTCCAGCTGTGGTGGAACTACAAATCCCATGAGGCATTGCAAGATTCTCACAGCCACAGACATGACTCCCAAAGAGAGATGCATCATGGGATTTGTAGTTTCACCACAGCTGGAGGGCCAGAGGTTTGCTACCCCTGGTCTAGCCTTTTATTTCTTAACAGGAGAAGTTTTCAAAGGCAATTTTGACCTTGTGGCTAAAAAACAAAACCTAAAATCATAGAACTGGTTGTTTTTTTTAATCACATAAAACACAATCTACACCAAAACCTTTCAGATTTCAACCAAGATTTTATATCTTGAACTATAACAGGGTAACAATTGAGAGTTAAAACTAATATGATTGCATTTAACCTCAACAGACAAGATTAGCACCAGGAAACCAAACTTGCCTCCAGAGCTTCCTTTCCAAAGACCTCAATGGCCTTTTCTTCAGAATACCCGCAGCAGCCATACTCCAATGGAGTAAACACGGTGGTTGGTACGTTGATGTAGTCACACTGTCAGAAGGCAAAAAGAAAAAAGTTCAGCTTGTGCAAAGAGCGTACTCCTTCAGGGCATGCTACCGTTACCCAGCAAATACAGCCTAGTCAGAAATTCCACTCCGTTTACTTTAAAAAAAAAAAAATCAGAGTTTTCAATTCCCCCCGAATCAGATTTCTCATTGTTCCCCACACGGTCGCTGGGAAAGTTTGCTTGCTCAGTCTGTACAGTTTCCTCTTTCTGATGGCTGTGGTCACCAGATTCAAATGACCAAAGCAGCCTGACAGATGCGAGACGGCAAAAAGCCTACAGTGTGTACCTATGACACACATACACGCCATTTCCAGATGGCAGATTACCAATAGGGTGTTGTAGACGGGGTGGGGTGAAACTACAGCAATATCTGGGGGGAAATATTAATGCCCAGAGCAAGCAGTCCGTGTCCCATGCATGCTAAGGTTGACCGGAGTACAGTGAGAGAGAGTGAGTGAGTGAGTGAGAGTGAGAGAGAGTCAAGAACAGCAATTAATGTTACCCCTGAAGGAGAGCCTTGTCCTATTTGGCGCGATTGCCTCCCTCAGAAAATACTGGGGGGAATTTATCAAAACTGGAGCAGACAGAACCTGGAGCAGTTGCCCATGGCAACCAATCAGCATCCCTCTTCAGTTTGCTCAGGTAAAATTTGAAAATGAGACAGAGAAGCCAATTGGTG